GGAAAGTCGGAAGGCCAAGAACTAGAAGTAGCAGAGATAATCTCTGCTTTCATTACTGAGAGCTGTCACGGATACATGACTGCACCCACTGCGAGGAAAGCTGGGAAGTAGTTCGACCAAGAGCCCAGAACAATGGCGAGAATGGATTTGTGGGAAAGCTAGTAATCCCCCCCCTTCCAGGTTTGACTCAAACATGCTTCAGTACTTTCTATTTTTCCCCCCCAAACACAGAAAAATGATTGATTCTCTAAACAAGCTCTTAAGTTTTATTGTCTTGTTTTTGGAGGAAGTATTTCCAACCCCTCTCACCATGATTTATTCTGCAATAGTGAAAACTGAATTACTGTTGAAATACTATTAAATGTATGATATTGTATGATATCATCATAAGAAAATCCCTTCCGTCCCACAAATTCCCAGTCACGCAGTCACAGAATTTGACTGGTATTCTCAAATTGGTTAATGTTCCCAAAAAGTCACAATTCCAAACAATATATATATATATATATATATATATATATATATATATATATAAAATAAATATGGGATACAATATCTGATGAAAGAGTTCAGAAGTTCAAGAGGTAAAGACAAAATTTCTGGAGGCCCTTGGAGTGGAACTAAGGAGACAGAGGTAGAAAATGCCAGGAGCTTCCAGACCGTGTTAAGTGCTAGGCTGCAGGGGCCACTCGGGGTCTGCCCCCTGAGGAAGGTTTGCAACAAGCTGATGGACAGAGTTGTCCATTAACACATTTATTTCAGCCTGAATTTACATAAGTACAATAAGATCATTTTATTATATTTGTGCATATTGTACATACATACATATTTAATAATAAATTTATCATTATATAATAAAACAGTTTTGTTTTATATGTGTGTATATATAAGTAAAATCTCTATCGTTGTGCATGTGTTTGCATGTGTGTGTTTGCCTCAATATCAAAGTGATTACAGAGTAGCAGCGTTACTGGGTACCCCGTAAAAGCTTATAACTATCTTTGGGAAAAATAATTTCAATTTGCACCAAGTCATTTTTACTCCTCTCTCCCACATATTCTATTTAGATCATTTTGTTACTGACAATTTTAAACTCTAAGCTTTTAATTTTGATTTTTTTTTTGTACAACGACCGTTTGAAATAAATGGCATAATTCTTTTGTAGTTTTATTAAATTTTATGTAAAGAGGCCAGCCGCTGCCGATGATTTGCACATGGTAATAGATTATATGCCAGGGAAAAATGTTGCTTTTGTTGCTTCTCCAGTAGGCGCAGTTCCAAGTGTAGTTATTACTAAGCTACAATATCACACATTAAAAAAAAAAAGTTATCAAAAGAATTTCATGCTATTGACTCATTACTCCCATACTTATTATTATTGAAAATCAGTAGATCTAATTCTATTGGTTTCCTTCCTGATTGAAAACATCTGAACCTAGAAAGCACAGGGTTTCTTAAGACATTTGTAACTATTCATTATGGATCTTAAACTTACAATCATGCTGCATTGTATGAGCAATGATTTTAAAAAAAGTCTTTACAATACATATGATAATCGGGTTACCAATGCTATCAAGGTTTGAAGATGCTGAATGTTCATATAACTGGTATTTAAATTTTTGATGCGTTTTGCATTTGTTACTGAATATCAAGAATACCTTTTTTTTTTTTTGCCCATATAGAGTAAGTTTAAAATGGGGTCTTTTGTAGAAGCCTCTAGCCTGTTTAGAATGATATAACAGATACCCGAATGTTCACATATCAAACAAAATGCCAGCTATCTGTAGAAAAAAGGTGTCAAAAAGTTTCTTTGTACCTTGAACGCAGGCGATTATGTAGTACAAAATGCAGAGTTTGTAAAATTTCTTGAATATACAGGCTAAAAATGAATAATTCAAAACAAATCTTAAGTTCTACATCCTATTGTCCCTTTATAACGCAGGCAGAAGATAGCAGTGCACTCCCAATAGAGCTGAATTTGCACAAGTTACACCTCTGAAAATGCCAGATGGTCTACGGTCTACTTTTGAGAGCTGTCACATATGTAAAGATTTGAAAAAAGAAAGACAGCTGAATGAGAGCAATGGATCGTTAAAGGGAGAGCGAGGGTCCCTAGGCGTCACCGGTGTTTTAAGAGGCATTGTGTTGTCGTTGCCATATTAGCATGTTGTGTCTTTTTTTTTTTTTTTAAAGCCATACACAACTTTTACACAATAAGAAAAAGAAATCTGTCTAAAGCCAAGTAGTTATTTTTTTTTTCTTATTTTTTTTTTTCAATCAGGTATTTTTGTTTTTTATCTGAGAATAAAATCATGTTTCTAACTTTTAGGTGAATTTTACTGTAAGATTTAAATCATATCCATGAGAAACTACCAATGGAAGTGAACATAAATGTCTGTGGAGATAACTAATATATCTAGGACTTATCCAGTTTTGATCTGACATATATATATATATATATATATATATATATATATATATATAGTGCATGCATCTGACAAAATCATAAAACTAAGGAAGTTTTAATGTGAAAAAATTAAAATAAAGAGATAATACTTGGTTATTTGATCATAATACAAACTATAGTAAAAATAATTAGGTGACAGGGAAATAAAAAATACTGTACTATTCTTCAGCTGCCAACCGAAATAGGTATCATATTGGAAACTGAAAAGTAGGTAAATCATTAAGGATGTGTTTGAATATCACTCCAGCCATATCCAGTCATTTGCATATAGTCAGTTTTGATAGAAAAAGACGGGATCTGTCAGTTTGTCAGTTTTAGAATTTGGTGGCAAGCTATAGTTCTCTTTCATTTTTAATAATTGAGAATGTTGAACTATTACATAGTGGTTTTGAATTTATCTTAGATTATGGACTATAGCAGTTTATGGACAGTCTATTTTTGATTGATAAGAAGTCTCCCCAGCACTGGCCCATGACATTTCAACTTAACGGAGCTCTTCGATTGCTTTAGTTACTCTTTTCAGAGAAACAGTGGCCCAGTACATTCCACTTATTGGCGAGATTGGCTGAAAGTGCTCTGAAAAGAACACCAAATTAGTTTGAACTCTCTTTCGCTATCTTCTCTGGCATCCCTTTAGATAAATATGTATAACTAGCTGGATGCTCAATAGCAGTCATTAGAATGTCATTCTCCTTGATACAAGGAGTTACAGGAGCAGCAAATTAATCTCTAGATCAAATGGTTACTCACCCATAAGAAATAGCTCTCCTTCTGCAGATGCCTGGACTGCCCATCTTAGTCATAAGAAGGGTGTCTAGAGCTTCTAAGTAGACAAGTAACTTTTTCTTCTTTCCATCAGAAGTTAGGAGAAAACCAAAATATTTTGATACATTTTACAACTATAAATTTGTGATATTCACAAATATTTAATTTTTGACAATTATTCTCCTTTGTTCTTTACTAAACAATTGAAAAACAGTAAGAGGGATTTATAAATTAGTTATTTTGTGTAAACAGATAACTTTTTCTGGGGAGATCAGAGCTCTAGGCTTCAGTACCCAGAATCCATTTTGGTTAATTTAAATGAAAAATAAACCTATTGTCAGCACAGAGATCCTCCCAAGAGTTAGACGACTAAGGGTTACATTCAGAGGGGCTTCTCTAATGGAAACCTCACTGCTGCACTGTTGCCACATGGTCTGCTGGAAAGTGGGCATCAAACATTGCACCCCACAGTATTTCCCTATATGGTCCAGCTTTCATACATGAATCTATTGTTCTTTTCTTTTTATTTCAAAAGATAATGGAGTAGTTAACTGTTTCTGAGGGAGAGCGAGATAATACTTCTATATCTCTCGTACCAGAAAGAAGACCTGATACAAAGAAAATAATCCACTTTTTCTGCTGAATGAGTGTTAAATTACTTTTTCAGATTCCTAACTTCAGTTTTCTTAAAAACAAAACACTTTTTCCCTTCTGTTTTTATGCCCTTTCATAAAGTCACTTTTGATGACCCCCTTTCTCATTTTCCTCTTTAGTAAATATATTTTCTCTACATTTATTCTTTCTTTTTACTTATTATTTTATTTTATTTTTATTTTTTATGTTTTTATCAGAAATAATTGTTTCATTATTGATTAAGGTATTACCTATATGTCCTTATCGCCCAATTGTTCCCCGAACCTTTTACTAATACTCTCACCCCCCTGTTGTCTGTGTCCGTTGGTTAGGTTAATATGCATGCATACCAATCCTTTGGTTGATCTCTCCTCCTTACCTCCATCCTCCCCTATCTTCCCTCTGAGGTTTGATGGTCTGATCGATGCTTCTCTATCTCTGGGTCTATTTTTGTTCATAAGTTTATGTTGTTCATTATATTCCATAAATGAGTGAGATCATGTGATATTTATCTTTCTCTGACTGGTTTATTTTGCTTAGCATAATGCTCTCCAATTCAATCCATGCTTTGCAAATGGTAAGAATTCTTTCTTTTTTAACAAAGCCTAGTATTTATTATTTATGTTACACCAGAGGCCCGGTGCACAAAATTCATTCACTTGGGGTGGGTGTCCCTCAGTCTGGCCTGCACCCTCTTGCAGTCCAGGAGCCCTCAGAGGATGTCTGACTGACAGCTTAGGCCTGTGGGGAGTGGGCCTAAGCTATCAGTCAGACATCCTTCGCGTTGCTGCAGAGGATGCGCTTACTAGCCATGAGCCTGGCTTCTGACTGAGTGGCACTGCCCCGATAGGAGCACACTGACCACCAGGGGCCAGCTCCTGCGTTTAGCTACTGCCCCTGGTGGTCAGTGTGTGTCAATAGTGATCAGTCATTCCACTGTTTGGTCAATTTGCATATTAGCCTCTTATTATAAGGAAAGGATATCAATATGTATTAGTATTTTACTTTTTTTTTTGCTTTCATTTTTAGTATCATGGATAAAATTCAAAGCAGTCTGTTACTGAATGTATTTGGATTATTTTTAAATATTAATTTCTTTTTTAACCTGATAAATTTTTCCTGCTTTTTAACTTAGCCCAACCTCAGCGCTTGCCTCAGCTTCAAACTTCAGCACAAGAACCCAGTGAGGAGGACATAGACCAGACAAAGAACTGCCACAGAAGTCTGATCAATGGAAATGGAATTCACCATGGAGCCAAACACGTGTCTGTGGATAATCAAAGACTTTCAGCACCTGTTTCTCAAAAAGTGCATAGAAAAATTCAGTCCAGCTTGTCTGTAAATAGTGATATCAATAAGAAGAGTAAAGTAAATGCAGTCTTTTCCCAAAAGCCAGGCTCCTCACCTGAAGGTAAGTTTGAGAATGCATACATATTTTGCTTGACCGTGTGTAAAATCATATTCCCTAATAATTATTTTTTCAAGCAAACATTCAAAAAGAATCTCCCTTATCTGTAAGACAAATGGGAATTTTGGTAAAATGCCGCTTCAATCACAAAAGGAGAACACAGGCTATGAAAGGAAGCCTGGGCAGCTGACATCCTGCTTATTGTCAGGGATGGGCATTATTTTAACTGTAACTTCTAGACCAGTGGTTCCCAGGGGGGCAATTTTATTTTAAGGGGGGGCGATTCGAGAATGAGTTAACTGATTTTTTTGCATTTCTTATGGCTTTCGGGGCCTCAAATACAGTATATATATATATATATATATATATATATATATATATATAGTGACATTTATATAATTTCTCTATTATATGTTTTCAAACTTTATTTGCCATTTTTTCATGTCATTTCATATGATTTTTTTAAAAAACAATTTCTTAGTAACTTCTTCCTCGGTACTTCAGCTGTCCTTTTGTTCTTTCATTTTTCCCTTTCTTGGATGGCATGTTCTTTGGAAGCTTGTTTAGACCAAGTTAATGTCCTCTTAGGCTTCCTCCACATGAATAGGAGTTCACTTTTTGAATAGTAAGAATTATATGTTACAGTGTGTGTGGGGGGGATGGGGGGCTCAGGATTTTAGACATGCTTAGGTGGGGTATGGCCAAATAAAGGTTGTGAACCATTCTATAATTTTTTTAATACCACAATTGCAAATATGAACACAACATTGTGGTGGCACACAAACATATGTGATTCTTTTTTCTGTTCCTGGCTTCATATGTTATTCTGTGGTTCAGAGATCACCTGCTTACAAATCCATTCTTCAATATGCAAAACAGAGCTGGGAAATGATTTGGTAATTTTATTTTCCTGCCAGGGAGAGAGCCAGGGGATCTCTGTTGCTTGATTACTATCATCCTCTAGCCACCAAACCTGTTCCGGGCTCACTGTGGTCTGGCCTTGGTCCTCTTAGGACCTGGTTATTACCTCCTTCAACTGGGCCTCCTCCTGCACTTGCCCAGATTAAAGTCAGGTTAAAGATTATGAGCCTGAGAAACCTTTTCTTTATTATAACATGAACCCATGTGATGACATTGGGTTTATAACGTACAGATTAAAAAAAAATGACTTGCTGTATTATATTATAAAAGGAATAGTTATCCCCCACATTGAAGGTTCCAGATCTCTCCTAGCACATCTGGGTTATTTCATTCTTCCTCTTTCCCACTTTCAGCAGTCCTTGAGCTTTAAAAAATCTCACCTATTCCACCCGATATGTCTATTTCTTTGTTATTCCTTTTATATTTCTATTTTAATTGCCAAGAAATCTTAAATAAGGGAAATTCTGCAGATGTTTCTGTGAAATTGGCTGTGCTTATCTATAGGGATAAATTGAGTTGTAAATAGAAAATTGTACAGAGAGATACCAGTAATGTGTGGAAGAAAGGATATTATATTTTGGTAACAGGTGTCTCAAATTCAGCTGAGGTATAGTGTTAGGTTGATCAAATAATATGATAATAAAGGGTCTGCGTGGTTCCAGGTCAGTGACACTACTTTCCAAACTAATTAGATTGAAGGGGACGTGATTGACACTTTAAAATTAGTTTGACATGTTAGCTACATGGTCATCTCTGAAGCATAGTTAGGCTGTTAACTAAACTGGATCTCCAAGGAGTTGGGAAGGCAATGCAATTTTCTTGAGAAGATCTTCATTTTTAGGTGATTGGGTGAAATAATTGGATACAATTGAAACCCACTTGTTTTTTGCATTTGAATTTATTATTATTATGTCCCAAACCCCTTGTTTTCCATTTGCTGTTTACTTATTATAAAGAATAGTAATATTTGCATATTAATCCCTCTTGAAATTGGTTATGGCATTTTAATAAAAGTTTTTATTATTTGCTTACTTTTAATATCATGTGTCAATTTATTTCTGATGTAAGAATGCAGCTTCATAAGCTGCATATGAAGAAAGAGGAAAATCAATATATGAAATATACTTCTATAAACCCTCTTCCTTTTTCCATCTTTGTTTCTCCCTCTTACATACATACTCACACTTACGGCTCACCACAAATAGATGGATGGGGAAGTCCCTGGTAATCCTGACATTATCACAAATTCTGTCCCAGGCAGGGCTTGGGGTCATGAGAAGTATGAAGCACAAATGAAGATGACTAAATATATTGTACAGCGTCCTATCCATGACTTTGCTGTTAAGCTATAGAATTTAGCCAGTTGTAGGTTTCTTTTATTTTGATTGCTTGAATCCAGATGAAAATGCCATTGTCCAGATACATATTTACTCAGAGTTGGATGTTTTCTTTTTTCTTTGCTGCTATTTCAGGTTGTGGCCTGAAATTGTGTTGTTTTTTCTGATTTTCAGTTTTACAGTTAAGTCTGTTTTCTTGGCAGTGCACTGTAGTTAAACAAATAAGCATAAAACTGGTAGAAGGCACATTCAAAGTGAACAGTCTCAGCTCTGCTGCCGGTTACCCAGGGGACCTGGGTTTCCTGGGGGATGCTTTTTCTAGAAAATGGTGTGAAAGGTGTGGATTAGGAATCTTCAAAGTAAGTTTCAGTTCCAAGATTCTGTGATTCAGCTCTTTCAGCAAAGCTGCCTCAGGAACTCTACACACAAGTCTCTTGCTGTAGAGAATGTTTGGCGTCTTTGGTTGAGAAGAAATCTCAAACCTGTGGAATAGAATGGAGCACCACCAGAAAGGGATTTTAATGAACAGACATAAGATCTGGATTCCAGGACAGCAAGTCTTGAACGGGCTCCATAGATGTGGGTACATGGAACAGACTTAAAATACACAAATAAAGGTTTTTAAATTAGTAGATTTCTACTTGTTCTATTTAATCAAAGAGATTAGACAAAGAACAGATATGCATAGCCCATGGACACAGACATTACTGTGGTGAAGGCCTAGGGTGGGGTGGGGTGAGGCAGGGTGGACAGGGCAAAGGAGGAGAATGGGGACACCTGTGATACTGTCAATAATAAAATGCAATAACAGTGGGGAGATTTAATAGCTAACATTTTCTCAGTTCTATGTTTTTCTTTTTGTTTTACGTTTTTCTCTAGTCTTCATCACCTATGTCTGTTTTTCTTACAGCAAAATGACCAAATGAATAGTGAGATAATATTCACTGAGAACTTCAAAATTAGCTAACCATGCCCAGTTTGACCCTGTTTGTATTTTTCTGAATAAATGGTGTTCCTGATTACAATTTTGTGTTGTACATAAATACTGTTGACAAGTAGAGTGTATTTTGCGGTTCCAATGATGGAATTAAATATGTAACCACTTCATAGTGTGTAGTAAGAACACTAAGGACTTTTTTGCTGATTAAGTTTGGGAAAGACCGCTAAGATATGGTGTGCCCATTGCTTATATAAAGGTAAGGATTGACTCAGCCCCATGATTGAGATAGTGGGTCGGTGACATGTTTTAATATGTATTTCACTGTAGGTACACTAAGGCTTGAGTACACATAGATTGACATGTGCTCCATCACATTCTCTTTTTAAGTTGTCTTGGTTTAGGTAGTTACTTAGATTCATTCTACGTTTTTTTCTACCTACTTTGTTCACATGAAATCATTTAATCCTCCCAACAGCACTGTAATTCTGTGAACAATACGTAATTATCAAATTGTAAATGAAGAAACTGAGGCACAGAGTGGTTAAGTGAAGCCACCAAAGTCAATCGGTGTATGATAGAATTGAGATGCAAACCCAGACAATTCTGGCTCCACAGCCTATGCTGCTAACTCCTGATATTTTTGCTTATAAAAATCCTCAGAAAAAAGCTCATTTACTGGCCATTCCACCACCCACATCAGATATTGGTATTACACCTGTGTGTGAGATAGGGATCTTCTTATTACTATAGATTTGTCTTGAAGCACTACCTACTAAAATTTTAAAATAATTCTCACACCTATACCTGGGTTTTGTTTTCTTCCCTACTAGTCTCTAAAATATTGAAAGACTAGACTGTGTCCAAGTTTTTGTTGTTATTAATTTACAGTGATGCCCATTACACTAGATTCAAAGAGTTTCCCAGGAGTTAGTAGTGATACATTTTTTATTCCAAATCACTTTATCCTACTCTTCTGTGAAACTAGCACTGAAAAAGAGAATGTGTGCACATGTTTGTTTAAAAATATGTTCTTTTAAAAAGTACTTTATATACAGTAGAAAAAAAAGTACCATGTGGGAAAATACACAAGTAAAGGTTTTTAAATTAGTAGATTTCTACTTGTTCTATTTAATTAAAAATTTTCATAATGCTTAATTTTCTGATTGTATCACCCAGGTGTAGAGTTTTAAGATTAAATGTTTTAAGATTCTTTTAAAACAATATTTTATTGACTTTTTACAGAGAGGAAGGGAAAGAAGGATAGAAATATCGATGAGAGAGAAACATTGATCAGCTGCCTCCTGCACACCCTCTACTGGGGATATGTCTGCAACCAAGGTACATGCCCTTGACTGGAATCGAACCTGGGACCTTTCAGTTTCCAGGCTGATGCTCTATCCATTAAGCCAAACCGATTTTGGCTGTTTTAAGATTCTTGACCTTTGAAATAATTATAGTATACTAGAGGCCTGATGCGTGAAGATTTGTGCAAGAATAGGCCTTCCTTCCCCTGGATGCTGGCACTGGCTTCCCTCCAGAACCTGGGATCTGCCACCTTCCGCCTTCACTCTGGCCAGAGCCACCTTCTGCCTTGGCTCCAGCCCTGCTGCCCTCTTGTAGCTTCCTCCACCTTACCTCCCAAAGCAGATGTCTTGCCCCACCCTGTCTGCTCCATGCCAGTGCATACACACTTGCCCAGAGGCCCGGAGTGGCCAGGGCAGGGTAGAATGCCTGCATCGTCACCAATTTGCATATTTCTTCCTTATTGGCTGTGGGTGCCATCATTTGGTTATGGAATGATGGTC